AATTTGTATCATTTTCTAATACTCCTCTTTTATGCAAATTTCTGTAACTATTCAAATTTTGGTATTGGTAGTGCTTTAGTAAAAATGTCTGCAACTTGATCTTCAGTTGTGTAGTACTCAAGTTTGATTTCTTTAGTTCCTTTTGCTTCCCTCATAAAGTGGTATTTGATTGCTATGTATTTTGTTATGCTATAATGCACTAGATTCTTTATCATTGCTATAGTTGACCTGTTGTCGCAATAGATTATAGTAGGCTTGTTTTGTTTTTCTCTCATTTCTTCAAGTATTCTTCGTAACCATATTGCTTGACTTGTAGTCTCTACAGCTGCCACATATTTTTCTTCTGTTGTTAATTGTGCAATTGTACTTGCATCTTCAAAGCCCACGAGATTGTTCTTGATCCTAGTGAAAAGGCATAAACCAAACATGCTCTTCATGTCATCGATCGATCCTACCAAGTCATTGTTGGTGTAGCCAAATAGCTTTGAATTACTCATGGTTTGGTATCATATACCATACTTCTTGGTGCCTTGTAAATATCTTAGGATTCTTTTTGCTATTCCAAAGTGGATTTGGCTTAGACTTTGCATGAATCTTAAAAGAAGACTTACAACATACATTATGTCTGGTCATGTGATTGTAAGATATAGTAAGCTTTCAATCGAACTTCTGTAGCATGATGCATCAGCTTTTGGTGCTCCATCATTTTTTTTCAATTTCTCATTTGTTACTAATGAAGTCCTAATAGTCTTACCCTAATTCATCTTGAATTTCTTGGGTAATGCTTCAACGTATTTCTTTTGTTAGATAAATATTCCTTCTTTCTTTTGTTTTACCTATATTCCAAGGAAGTAGTTCATCAAGTCAAGATCGGTCATTTCAAAGGTCTTCATCATATCTTCTTCAAACTTAGATATCATCTCTACATTGTTCCCTGAGCAGATAAGATCATCTATATATAAGGAGATTATGAGTATGTCATATTAACCTAGGAACTTGGTGTATAAAGTTGGCTCACTTTTGCTCCTCATGAATCCTTGATCTATAAAGTATTGATCAATTCAGTTTTAGTATTTTTTTTCTTCATTACCTTCGCTAATGAAACCTTGTGGTTGCTCCACATAAATCTCTTCTTGAAGAATGCCATTGAAGAAGGCAAATTTTACATCGAGTTGATAAATGTTCCATCCTTTTTGTGCAACTAGAGTAATTATAGTTCTTATAGTATCCAGGTGAGCAATTGGAGCAAATGTCTCATTGTAATCAACTCCAAATTGTTGTGAATATCCTTTAGCTACTAGCCTTGCCTTATACTTTTGTATGGTGCCATTGAGATTAAGCTTAGTCTTATAAACCCATTTTAACCCAATGATATCTTTATCTGTTGGGCAATCTATTAACTCTCATATGTTATTTTTCTCAATTATTTTTATCTCTTCTTCCATTGCCTTGATCCATACTTCTTGTTTTGATACTGCTTCAAAGCTCTCAAGTTCAACTATGGCCAAGTTATAGGTCTTGTATATATCCACCAAAGATCTAACTCGTCTTGGAGTAGACTCTGGTGAGAAATTTTGTTGTTGTGGGGGTGAAAAACTATCACCTGAGACTTCTTGTTGTTGCCTAAGCTAATCAGCAACTATTTACATGATTGAGTAAGACCTTGAGAACTGCTAGAGGCTCGAATGACTGTGATCACAATGCACTTAAGGTGCGAACCTGGGGAGTAGAAATGTCAATGAAGTTGTGCGAACATGTGTGATGAAAGAAATATATGATATGTGATATTGTTCTATGAATTGTTATTTAATTGTATAATCACAATATTATTATGATATTTCTGTATTATATATATATATATATATATATATATATATAAAATAGAGTAAATGCTCACCCTTACACTATTCTGCAGGTAGTAAGGATAACAATACATTCCGTGTGGATTGATATAATAGATGTTTATGCTAGTAGTAGATTAAATTATGTATTTAGGGGATAGAGACGTGTTGTACATTTATATTTTAGAGTATATTTTGAAAACGATGAGGAGTACACATTAGAACTAATCTATAATTATGCAGTTCCTTTTGATTTCCCAACCAGTGGTCAAATTCATCAGTCTCTTAGTTTTTATCTATACTAGGGAATAAAAAGGCCTTCTTGGATCATAAATAATGTATTTACTTATCATGATCATAATTTACTACGAAGATCTAATAGCTATACATTTGAGAGATTATCTAGTATATAGAAATGGTGGCGGACTCTGGTGACACCTGTCTTGGAGAGGATGAGAATTAACCACTGAGGACTTGGCGGAGATTGAGGGATGACATGATATAGATGAATAGTTTCAGGTCCTTAGTATGTGGGGATGAGTATGAACTGCTATAAATTTTGATATGTTATGGATAATGATATATAAATATTAATTTGTAATATATTTCATGCAGTTTATTTTCTTAAATTTGTCTCATATATGAATTTGCTATTGTAAAAGGCTTTATCTCTATAAATTTTGATTAATGGTTATAAGAAAAAATTGGTTATTCTTTCTAAAATTTTATAAAATTAATATATTTAAAATGGAGAAATGTACAGTGTTACAAATTGGTATCAGATCAGGCCTCTCCTAATACGATGTGGTTCCAAGACGAACCAACCAGTGCAATGTGGCACAAACAAGGAGCGGTTCCTGGCAAGCTTCCAGTAGTAAGAGACACATGAATGAATCGAATAAACACCAGAATGAGATGGATCTAGAGCATATGTAGATATGGGATTATACAATTGAGGATAGCTTAAAGGAATTGATTAGAACTACATATACCAACAAAATACATTTACTTTTCGCTAGCTTATCACTTAAGAACTTCAAAGTTAAACGTGCTTAACTTGGAGCAATTATGGGATGGGTGACCTTCTGGAAAGTTCACAGAAAGTATATAAGTGAGGACAAAGCACACTGAAAAGTCTTAAGTTGTCAGGCTTTTGTTCCATTTACCTGAATAATAGGTTTGCAAAATTTGAATGCTTGTTGTCCTCTTGAGCAATGAAATTGCATGAACTCTAACCATCTTGATAATGTAGCATATGATTCATCTCAGTCACCATATATTCTTATAATTGCCTTCTGTTTTGCCTTCCACGCCTTTTTGTATAAAATTTTATATTCAAATTGAGTTGTCATTCTTTCTTAAATTAGACTTATAGGCAATGATAGTTCAAGATTAACCATACCTACATAAAACACACCTACATAAAACACAACAACATAGGTAAGTATCTTTATTCTGAAAAGGCTTCACGAAATAAGATATTATGCAAACTTTCATTCATATAATAAAAACTTACTAGTGATGCATGGACAAATCAAATCTGAATCTAGTTTGATATGGTCTTGAAATATTGTAAGGTTAAGACATGTATGCTTATCCCCACACCTTGTTATTTTTTGCTTTATTAAATTTTTAAGCAATGATGTTTTTATTCTCCATGGACAACCATTTTTATGGTTTAAACACCTCACATACAATTTTGTTGGTTTTGACTCAATAACAAAATAACTTTAATGTATTTTTATAGTATACTGTTTTAAGACATTTTTAACTTCATCTTTGGAGTTAAATAATAAACACACATGTAAGGGATCTCTAATAACTCATGAAATGTTTTCACTAATTTTTTCTACTTCAATTTCTTGGTCTAAGTGTTTACAATTAATATAATTGTAGTATGGACATATATTTTAAAAAGGTATTTCACCTACACTTACATATAAACGAATATTATTTATCATTATAAAAAATATACAATTTAATAAATATACTCTTTAACTAATAATACTTCTAATATTTTCTTGTAGTAAATTTAAGTTTAAATCAAAATCACCATCTATGTCTCTAGGACGAGTGTAATGATAAATTTTTAACCACATGATAAAGACTAATTCTGTCCTACATAATGAAGCACAATAATTACACGTTATGATCTCATAGTTTCGAAACATAACCTAACATGATAAAAAATTGTCTTTTTTTTTTTTGTTTTATTCTAGTAATTAGTTCGTAAAAAAACATTAAAAAATGCATAAAGTCGCCTGGAAGTAGTGGAGGTCGACATATTCATCGGTAATGGAGTCAGAGCGGGAGGTGTTGGTGCCTGTCTGGTTGGCGTGCTACCAGTCGGCGACGAGGGGAGGGTGCGATGCGGCGATATGAGTGTTCCGAGGATAGGGGGTTGAATTTGGACTAGCAGAGCAGTACTGATATGGGTTTGTGTTTTGGGTTTGTACCTCTGTCATGTGTGGGCACAAAGGAAGATATTATATTGCCAGGTAAATAAAAGAAGAAAGAAGTAAAACTATTGTTTAAAATTTATTTTACTCTTATAATCATTTAAAGGGTTAGTATCCTTTTTTACATTTAAATAATATTTAGAGTTAATTTTATATTAATAATTAATTAATTTTATATTAATAAATAGTAGATAATTAAAAATAATTAATACATTTTAATTTTTAAGATATTAAAAATCACAATTCTTAATTTTAAAAAAAATTGATAAAAAATGAAGGAACACTAAAAGATTATAGAATTTTTTTATAAAATTAATTTTAAAATTTAAAATATTAAAAATAATTAAATGACCTAACAATAAAAATTTTACTATTTAATTCACCATTTAATAGAAGATAGCAGAGGATATGAACTAAATTATTACATTTTACATTTTAAAAGAGTAAAAAAAGTTAAAATTTTTATAAAGATTTATTTTAAAAAGTGATATTTTTGCAGACACTAAAATATTGATATTTTTATTTTTATTTTTAATTCGAAAGTGATGAAAACCGTTTCAACTTAATACAATTGGGATTATTTTCTTACTAACTTTCTCACTAAATGACACCACTCTATTAATAAATAAGCATTATTTTTTCACTCTCCACGTTATTTCCCTTAAGACAAGCCTAATTCATTCATCTTACATGTACTAACGCTTCGTTTTACTCTAACCTAATCCGTGTTGTCACATGCCCCCTTCCAGCTTTGTTCGGTAGATCCTTCTTCAACTTGTTCAATCAAATACACTTCGCCATGTAACTAACTCTCAGTAGCAATTGCTGAAGCTACAAATCGCTCTCCTTTTCTTTCCCTCCACCCCTCATTGCATTCTAACCCTCTTCTTTTGAACACCAAACCAAAAAAATACCCGAAAAAATAAAAGATAATCCAAAATTTTGCACTATCCTCAACCCGGTTTCAACGATCTCACACACTCATGTTTCGGTTTCTTTCACTTGGTTCAAATATTTTTCAGTCTTTCACCCGCGCAGCGGGTGTAGAAGCCTTGCAATTGTTCACGTCCACCACCTATTCGACCATTGGCATAACCAAACCCAAGGTTGAATTAGAAGATGCTAGACACAAATGGAACGATGCCACTGAAGTTTTGAGTAAATGGGGTTGTAGTGACACTGATTTGACGAGAATATTTACCCGTTGCCCCTCATTGCGCAATGCTGAGCCTTCTCAGGTTCAATCTAAACTGTGCTTGTTAAGTGATTTGGGTTTAGGCTCATCTGAACTTGTGAAGATTATTAATTGTAGGCCACAGTTTTTTAGGTCTCGGATTAGCCGTAATTTCGATGAGAGGATTGAGCATCTTATTTCGTTGTTTGAGTCAAAAGAGATGTTTCATAAGGCCATTGTGAGAAATCCTTCGCTGCTGCTAGTTGATGATCGATACAACTTTAAAGGTACGGTTGCAATGTATGAAAAGATGGGAGTTAAGAAGAGGGACTTGACTCAAATGCTGCTTTTGCGGCCAATGATTATTTTGAGGAGTTCGTTTGATGCTGAGAAGCTGGAGTATTTAGGAATGACGGGGCTTTCTGAGGATTCGAAGTTGTATAAGTATGTGGTGACATTGATAGGGGTATCTCGAGTGGAAACTATTCGCGAGAAGCTGGCAAATTTCGCAAAGTTTGGTATTTCTGAGAAGGAGTTATTTGAACTTGTGGGGAGGTCTCCATATATTTTGACATTGTCTACTGAGAAGGTTCAGAGGAACATGACTTTCATTTTGGGCACAATGAAGCTTGAGGCTAAGGTGGTCCTGAAGCAGCCAAATCTCTTGTATGCTAATCTGGATACTGTTTTGAAACCAAGGGTGCTTCTAGCATTGAAGTTGCAAGAGATGGATCCTACGTTGCGAATCATAGGATCCAAAATACTTAGTTCGCTGAGGATGCCAGAGCAGAGGTTTTTGAAGCAGTTTGTCAATTGCCATCCCAATGATATTGCCAATGAATTAATGGAATTCTATAGAAGTACCAAAGAGGTGAAAAGGTTGGCAGAGTGGTCGAAGAAGTCCTGTCATAGAGGATTCCCTTTCTGAGTTACTTTTTATGTTATGATAATAGTTTTGGACTTGAGATCCATATCCATTTTCTGGTTCATGTTGTTGGAAATTATTTTTCATGCTAATATGAATACTTTTGTATCTGTGATTCTTAATGAAGGTTTTTCCTATCTAGTAAAGTTTCTGGAAAAAGGTGAGCTGCTGAGCTCTAAATCAAGAAATAATATAGGCCCTTCATTTTGATAGCTATAATTTGAAGAGTGATCTCAGAGATATCTTGGATACTTGATGATGAAATGCTCTGGATTGAGAAGTTTTATTCTCTCTGCCTCAATTTTTGATAGTTTATACTATCATAAATCTTTCCAACATATAGGCAGGTGTCAAATATTGATGCAATTTTCTCCTGCCACCTTTTTATTTTTTGGCATAAAAATTGAATGCATTTTGGTTTTCTTTCCCGTGTTGACAGGAATACTACTATAGTTAATTAAATTTAAGCGTATGGCAGCAAAGTGGGCTTTTGCATTATCTATGTGCGTCAAGGATGTATTAGTTATTGTTAAAATATTTAGGGTGCGGAATCTGCATACTTAAAAAATATTCCTTGGCCTGGCTTTGGCCAGAACATTTGCCTAGCAACTTTTGTTTATGCTTAGTTTAAACTAATTTTTATACATATCACATATCAAACCTAGAGCAATGACATAATGCAAAAGGGAATGAAGTAAAAATTCAACAAAAAGAGTTGTTTATGTACCCATGATGAAATTTAAACCGGATCAATGTTAAAAAAGTTGTAGGCAAGAAGATATAAGGATTATCAAACCTGTGGGAATTGGGAAAGAGAAATGAATACTCTAGAATGCTTTTTGTAAATTGCGGCACAAGAAAGGTAATATTTTATTCATAAAATTAATATTTATAGATCATGAATAACTTCAAGCGACTGTACTTGAAGATCAAAAAATTATCTCTTTTTTAGTTTGCTTTTCTTTATGGCTTTATGTATGATTATTTTAGTTTTTCTCTTTAGCATGAGTAATTAAGTCCATAGCTAAGGCTATGAAAACTATTGTTCATGAATCTATGAAATTTTGATGTTTCAATCTATATTTAGTTTCCGTTCGTGAGTAGCTTTTATCTTATTACGCATGATTATAATTTTAATTAATTATATCGTTAGGCAACTATACCTTGATTAGTTAATGTTGTGATTATAATCAAGAAACCTAAACACAGAGAGAAGAAAACAAAATCAACAGAATAATGCAATAACACATGGGAGAGAGAGTTGTGATTGAGAGAGAGAGATAGAGAGATTCACACAGAGATTTACGTGGTTCACCCTCTAAATTTTGGGCTACATCCATGGAAGGAGCAGATCACTGACATATTATTAGAGTAATGTGTGTATTATTACAGCATAAGAGAATACCTTATATACAGGAGGAAAGACATGTATATAGGTAATTAACACAATAGATTGGTAATTGTAATAATTATGATATAGTCACTGAGTGGTCCTAAGGCATCTTTCAACAATCTCCACCTTGACTTAGGAACTCAAGGTATCAGAGGAAGAAATTTTTTTGACTTTACATCCTCCAGTCTCCAAAGACTATTTCCAAATATCAACATTGAGCATATCCAAATAGTGCATGAACTTGCTCTTAGGGACCGGTTTAGTGAACATCTCCCCTGGATTGTACAAGGTGTTGATCTTCTGAACCTTGATCTTGTCTTCTGTCCTGATGAAGTGGTATCTCACATCAATGTGCTTGGTTCTGTCATGGTGTACTTGATCTTTATCCAAGCAAATTGCACTAAGACTATCACATAAAATTAGAGCATGTTCTTAATGAAATTCTATGTCACTAACAAGACCTTTTAGCTAGATCCCTTCCTTGGTAGCTTTTGTGAGTGCCATGTATTCTACTTCTGTTGTTGATAGTGTAATGCCTCGAGTTTTGTAATCTATTTCATTATTGATATAATTGTGGAATTCTCATTGAATTTGCATTTGATGTATGTGAATATATGTGTATATGTGTAGATGAATATATATAAGTATAATTATGGATATTGATTGTGGATTGATAGCTAGGTGTGTCCGAAATTGATTGAAAAATAGGCTAGATGTGTATTATAGGGGCATTTTCGCTTTAGCGAGAAGGCCCTAGGCGAGAGGAGTGTATCTATTGCGTTCTCGCTATAGCCAGAGGGCAACAAAGGGGGATGCATTTCTGGGGTGCAGTCTCGCTGTAGCGAAATTTTGCAGAAATTAGAATGCAGATTCGCTAAGATTTTCGCTGCAGTGAGAATGTGTCTCGCGAGAGCGAGAGTGTCGTGACTCCTAAGGTATTTGAGGGGTTTAGAATTTGGGAAGTTCATTTCCCACTCTTTCTCTTCATCCCTCTTTCGATTCTCTCAATTCTCAGCTCTATTTCACTGATTAAACTGCCTCCAAAGCCGTTTGGGTGCAAGATTGAAGATTGTGGTTGTGTTTTGGATGACTGGAAGTGAGTTTTATGAGTTAGGGTTTTGATTTTCGTCCCTTTCTTCCATTTTCTCAGTTTCTCATGTAATTCTTCCATGTATTTAGGATGAAATACTGTGTGGGGGGCATTTTCTAGCATTAAATTGTGTTGAGTTTTCAATCCAAGGTAAGAGGGGATTCTACTCTATCTCATTGTAGTTAGAATTCATTTATTGTGTTATAGATTGCAATGTGATTAGGATAAAACGTAGGATGATGTGTATTTGATGAGAATGGTTGAGTGTGAGCATACGTGCCATGTGTGAAAGTAAATATAATGATGTGATTGAGAATGTGGGTGAATGTATGTGTAGACATGCTATTGATTGATGTTGAACAATATGAAATGGGCAAAAATGTGTGTAAATGGCATGTTGAGTGAGATTGTGTTTGAATTAGTTGGAAACTATGAATGGTTCAGCGATGTACATAAGGGTGCAAAAAATGGGGGCGGTAGAAATACCTTAGGGAAGAGAGGATGGTAGTGACACCAACAGTAAGTGTAGGTGCATCACAGGACACACACTCTCCTCCTAATTCGGTCTCTGACTAACACCTTTGCTAGGGGCTAATACCGCACACATTATATCGCTGGAGTGAGAGCTATTTGGCGACCATCCATGGTATGAAACTGAGTAAGTCCTTGAGGTTGAAGGCGTTAAGAAACTGTGATCACAGTGTCACAGTAAGTGTAACTGACATGTAGTGTGTGCACGTGTGTGTTTTATGTAGATTGTTTGATGGTGCAATGAGTGCACTCGTATGTGAATCGGAGTGGAATGATTGAAAAGTATTACTTTGTGTTTGTTGATGCTTGATATGAATTATGTTAGTAAATATGTGAAATGGGAAAAGTGAGTTTCTCTGCTTGTGTATGATAGTGTAGAATACTCACCTTTACATTTATTTTTCAAGTGACTAAGACGATCAGCACTAGGTGCAGTAAAGGGATTGATGAAACTGCCATAGGACTTAGAAAGTTTATTTTTGGAAACTATGATGTATTTAAATTAGTCCTGTAGTAATTATTTAATTCAAAATTTTTAATTCATCCTTACTTTGAAATACTTTATTGAACTATGTATTAGGAATCCTTTTAATGAAAATTTTATTATTCCCACTTGTTAGGAAATTTACTTCTTTGGAAAATTGAATTAAGGTATTACAGATAGAGCAACCGAAGGTTGTAGGGTTGCCTTCTAGCTGATCAGACATTGTCCTAGAGTGAAAGCATATCCTATTAGAGATCTTTTCCCATCTAGGTTTGAAACATAATTTGAATCTAATTAACCTGATATAAGGTGGCTTGAACTTGAGCCATAGATCAAGCCAACATCAGCAGTACCTTTTAGGTATTTGAATATTCTCTTGCTTGCTTGCCAATGCTGCTTTTGTGGTTGGTTTAGGTACTTACTAACCACACTGACAGCATATGCTAGGCCAGTTCTTGTGCATACCATTGCATACATGAGACTACCTACAGCACTTGCATAGGGTACCTTAGACATGTAGTCCAAGTCCTTTTATGTTTAAGCCTTTGTAATTGATGAGAGTCATTCTTTTGTTAACAAGGGAGTTTGAGTGGCTTTGCATTTTCCATTCCAAACTAGATAAAATCTTTTGAATGTAATCCTTTTGTGATAAGAAGAGCTTCTTTTGAGATCTGTCCATGTATATTTCCATCCCTAGGATATTCTTAGCAGCTCTAAGATCCTTCATATCAAACTCTCCACTTAATAGGATCTTCATATTTTGTATGTTTGACATATTTCTTGCTGCTATGAGCATGTCATCTACATAAAGTAGGAGATATATGATAGAACTATCCTCCACCTTGTTATTGTAAACATAATAGTCATGGGAACCTTGACTAGTGATGAAATTATCAAACCTCTTGTACCACTGCCTTGGTGATTGTTTCAGCCCATATAATGACCTCTATAGTTGACAGACATAATCCTCTTTACCTTGAACTACAAAACCTTCAAGTTGCTTCATTAGAATATCTTCATCTAGCTTTCTATGGAGAAAAGCAGTTTTAATATCTAATTGCTCAAGTTCTAGGTTTTGACTTTCTACTAAAGTAAGTTGAACTCTGATGGATGTATGCCTCACAACTGGTGAGAAGATTTCATTTTAGTCTACTCCCTCCTTCTGACTGAATTCCTTTGCAAATAATCTGGCGTTGTACCTTATTCTCTCAGTTTATGTTATACCAAGCTTCTTCTTGAATATCCATTTACAACCCTACCACATGTCTTGCTCTTGGCAGCTTGATGAGCTTCCAAGTTTGATTCTTCTACAGTGGTTCTATTTTTTCTTTCATTGCTAGGATCCACTTATTAGAATTTATGTGATTGATTGCTTCTGTTCACTTGAGTCTATTTCTTCAGCTGTAATCAAAGCATAAGCAACCCATGTTTTAAAAGCCATATTTCTCAAGAGGTTTCCTTTTTATTTTGTGGTCTTTGATATGCTTCAAATTTAACGTTTTCTTGACCACTTGTATCATTTTGATGTGAACCATTAGTATTGATATCTTCATATTTTCCTTCACTTTGAGATAATTCAGATGCTTTGTCTGACATTGCATTGTCTGATTAGAAGTTTTGCTATATTTTCCTGAAATAGAAATCTCCAATCTCAGGTGAAACAAGTGTGACTCATCAAAGATAACATCTCTGCTAAGAATGACTTTCCTAATCCAAGTTTCTTAACTTGAAAATCCTTAAATACCTCTTAATTCGCAATATTTTCGCTACAACGAGACCTTCTCTCGCTACAGTAAAAAGACCAGACAAAATTGCACTTTGCTGTCTATCATCCTTGCTACAGCAAGAGAGCATCAGAATGCCTGATTTTGGACGCTAATTTCTCGCTACAGCAAAAAATCCTACAACTTAAACATCTAAAACTCTCCTAATGTTAAGCAACATGCATTAACATCTCATACCAAATACAAAACTAATAAATAATAAAAATAGGGG